ATATATTGTGTGTGTGTGTGTTTTTCCCAATCTTGAGATATTCCCCAATTTTGAGATTTGACCGAGTATATGTTGTTGTTGCTATAACTTATAATTTAATATAGCACTATACATTTTGTTTTCAAATGTGTTCAAGCGTGTTGGATGCCGATACTTAGACTCGATCGTTCACACATTAAAACTCTATATTTAATTTACTAAGACCGTCAGTATGCCCGAGCATCTTGCCAGTTAAAATCAAGAATGATGCATGTCCTATGTTAAATAAAGTGATAAAAAATATATATTGGGGATTAATTAATAGAATATAATTGATTTTTCAATTGATCCACTAATCAAGTATTCGAGCAAAATACTGATCATATGAGAATAATGCATCCAAGCACATCATACATAAATATAATTTGTCATAAGTGAAACAAAATTTGGCTGCATTTTATAATTTATTTTTAAATGGATTTTATGATCTAGGATACATGCACTAATACGGAGACTTAGTCGATTGTACACATTTTGGAGCATCTAGTCAATCATTATACCGAAGCATCTAGTCACTTAAATTTAAGATTAATTATGCATGTACATGATAAATAAAATATTTAAAATGTTCACTTATACTTCAAGATTTATTTTCTTATTTATTCACCGACCAAGTATTCGAGCGAAGTAATGAACAATTGAGAATAAAGCATCAACGCTTGTCATATATATATGTAACTGTAAATTCTCATAAATGAAATAAAATCATACACTCTATTGTAATCTATTTATAAATGTGATTCAGCATGTTGGATACGTATGCGGAATATGAAGACTCGATCGATTGCATATTTGACCTCAAGATTTACCAAGCACTCAGTATATATTCCAGAGCATTTAGCTACTTAATTCAATTCAAGAATGATGCATATCCTAGGTTAAATAAAGTGATAAAAAAAATATATCATATGTTAAAAGAATATAATCAATTTTTCAATTGATCTAGTGATCCACTGATCAAGTATTCAAGCGAAATATTGATCAGGTGAGAATAAAACATCCACGCACGTCATATGTAAGTGTAAATTATCATAAGTGAAACGAAATGATAAACTTTTTATATATAATTAATCGAGTGTAATTGATATAGTCGTTGTATGCAATATGCTATGATACACTTAATTAGTGTCTTAGTAAATAGATTATAAAGTGTATCCAACATGCTATGGTAAAACTTAAGATATAGTGCTATATATAATTCTAATTATATATTATTTTTTTACAATGTTCAAACACATAACCGTCCGATATCGGGTGTAAATAATTTAAAAAAATTTGATTAAGGTACAAATCAAGAAAAAAAGAATATATTAAGTGTGCAAAAAGCAAAGAATTCAAAATTTTGTATGCTATAAGTTTTTTAGATGTTGATTAATTTTATTAATAAAAATTCATTATTAAAATTTTAAAAAATTAAATTCCGACCAAATTCGGTCGGTATTTATGAGGTCAAACGGTCAAAGTTTTTTTAATTTTACCGATTGACGTCGGTCGAAAATATGTTTATTAGACAAATACATACGAGTTTCTTTCCCATTTTTCTCTTTTTCCTCTCGGTTCCATCTCTCTTCCATCTCTCCTCCTCATTGATTTTCGTCCAAATCCCATCCAAAATCAAGTTATCCCCCCCNCGACATAAAATACTCCCAAAACCTGGTGTCACTGAGTACATGCGCATCTAAATGAATACAAAGTCTGACTGATAAAAACACTGTCCAATATATAGAACATTACAATAACTGAAAGAAAGGGAGTCAAGGTCAGCGGACGCCAGGCAGCTACCTTGATAGTCATCGATTGATAGCACTCTAAAATCTAATAGTCGCCGTATTCGAAAGTACCTGGATCTGCACACGAGGTGCAGAGTGTAGTATGAGTACAACCAACTCAATAAGTAACAAGACTAACCTCTGGGCTAAAAGTAGTGACGAGGTCCGCAGGTACAGTCCAGTATAGAAATATCAATACAGAAATGTAGGCATGCTTTCAAGTTCAACAGTTAAGCTCAGTACAAGTAAGATAGATCATTACTGCATGATATGAGGAATATAACTGTCACGACCCAAAAATCAACCGTCGTGATGACGCCTATGGTGGTACTAGACAAGCCACTACTCAACTATCTTAATACAGTAAAAGCTTTAACAATTTTAGATGGAAGCAATTAATATTTAAGAAAACCTTTCAGGAACAGAAATAAACCCGCTACACAATACAATCTATCCTAAAACCGGGGAGTCATCGAGTACAAAAGAATCTATAGCAGGAACAGTCTAATACAATATCTAAGGAATAAGAACTGAAATGTGATAAAGATAAAGAAGGAGAGCCAAGGCCTGCGAACGCCATGCAGCTACCTCGATAGTCTCCGGGATCACCTACTCAAATATCAACACCCGCTATGACCGGGAACACTTGGATCTGCACACGAAGTGCAGGGTGTAGCGTGAGTACAACCAACTCAGAAAGTAACAATAATAAATAAGAAACTGAAAGATAGTGACGAGCTATGCAGTTATAGTTCATTATCAGTAATCTCAACAAGAAAGTAGACCTGCTTTCAAATTCGGTAGTTTAAGTCAAATCAATTTATAAATGCCAAGTTCGGGAAAAATCCTGATATAATATCCCTCAGAAGTTTCAAAATAATGACATATAACAACTTTGTGCAACAATAATGGAAGCAAATACCGTCTCTCAGGGCAACAGTCACTCAATCTTTCTCAATAGCTCATCACTAGGCTCTCAGCCCTCAACACTCCCACTCAATAGGTACATGCGCTCACTAGGGGTGTACAGACTCTGGAGGAGCTCCTTCAGACCAAGAGCTATATCGCTGTAGCGTGCAGCCCGATCCCATATAAACAGCCATAAGGCTCGTTGCGGCATACAACCCGATCCATATATATATACACAACCCTGAGGCTCGTTGCGGCGTGCAACCTAATCCATATATACAGCCCTAAGGCTCGTTGCGGCTTGCAACCCGATCCATATATACAGCCCTAAGGCTCGTTGCGGCATGTAACCCGATCCATATACCTACATATAGCTTACAGCTCGTCACTCATGCCCTAACTCAGTCACCAACCTCTCTAGTCTCTCGGGCTCTTAGAAATCATAAAAATCAGCCAAAACAAAGATAATATAATGTGTAAGTAAGAAACAAGAAGAGACTGAGATATGATACACAAGTAAACTGTGACTGAGTACAAAACAACAATTAGCAATTAGTTCAACGAGTACACGACCTCTGCGGGTCCTAACAGTGTAGTCACATAGCCTAAGCATGACTCCTAACATGATCTGCAGTCAAATTTCTATAACACAGGGAGAGCATATAGCTAACAACAAGTTATTCAACTTTACAGTTTTACGGAATGGA